CCCCTTATGGGCCCCCCCCCCCCCCGAGGTTCGCAAGGTTCTGCGATACACGTATTTCTAGTATATATATATATATATCTGTGTGGATTTCATATAAGGTGCCTTTACTGAGTCTCTAGATGGCCAAGTCTAAGGAGCAACTACTCAGCCTCCCCACCCATGAAGCTTATGACTAGTCAATCACCTCCCCCAAGCTCTGCCAGTAGTGTTATGATTATGAGTCACAGCACTGATTTGGCTGGGCTAGCCCACAGGAAAAATTCCCTGACTTTGCACTGCTTTCTGATATGAAAGTCTAGTCAAAGTGACAAAATCTACCCTCCCTACCCCTCTGGTTTTCACGCAAAACAAGGAAGCCACCCACCCACGGATAGGTCTGGGCCTGGGCTCTCTGCTAACACCCAGCAAGACAGCAAGCCCCCTGGTTTTTTTCCGGCTACACTGGCTTGAACACGGGCGATGCCTGGCTTATTTTTAAGAAAGGGAGATACCCTTTGACAAATAAAATGAGACGAACAGGCGTGAAAGAACATTCTTTATAAAACTCAATTAATCATATTATTAGTGGAGTTAACTTACTTCAAGTTGGGCCTTGGTCAATCCAGTGTCTGCAGCAGCTTTTTGAACCATTTCTTTGTACATGGCCCCGGTTCCAACCATGCCTTTCCAGTAAAAATCGTCTAAAATCTTCCTCTGGTTATCCGAGATGCGATTTCGTTTCGTCATTTTGCCGTTCCAACCGTTCTAGAGACAAACTGCTTTGAATGCTCGATAATACTTTCCAAAATGCTCGATTCCCTCTTGACTAAAGCCACAGAACGATTACAGAAATGCGCGTTTTTTTAACAAGTGTTTTTATTGGTTGTTACAGACCTTACGTAACAATAGATCTCGGTAGCAGTTGTCTGAATGGCTCAGACGATCGTTTCTCATGGGTAATACCCATGTTCTCAATTGAGGGATTATGGGTGTTACCCTGTGAGAAAATGAAATACGGGTGAGGGCTAAGATTTGCATTATATCTGTGTTCATTGCTAGAATAGGGTATGCTGTGAAAGCTGGCTTCACTTCTTTGGCTGAGCAAACGCTGAAACAATTTGAGCTCACGCTGTCTAGACTTTTCCATTTCTTTCATAAACGATATCAGTTCTTTTGTGGGGTAATTTTGAACAGCCTTCTTTACAAGGGTCAATGCTTCTGTTGTCGCCGTATCCAGTCTCTCTTTAGATGACTGCCTTCTTTTTGCTTTCACGAGAACAAATAGTTCTTTTTCCTGGCCACTATCATCCAAAGATCTCCGGAAAGATCACTATGTGAAGGTGAGGCTGAGGGCTCAAGTGCTAAATCAGGCTGACGAAATACTCTTGTCTTCACTACTTCAAACAAAGTAGTGAACCACTCGCCAAGTCCTTGATCTTCTCGAAATATTTTGATCCCAGCTGCTGTTTTTTTTGTGTCAGGGCTGTTTGCTTACACAGGCAGACACATTTTTTGGCTTGCTTCGCAGCTGATTAACAGGGAAATGGAAGTTTTTACCCCTTGCAGAGGCTGCAGCTTTAGCTTCTTTCAAAATCTCTCCATACAGCTCTCCATTTCTTTGATTTTTTGTTTGTAAAAATAATTTTCTTTTTATATGAGTTGCTACTCACGATGATATCTATAAGATCATTAAGTGCCCGTGGACACCACTTGGCTTTCCCACCAGGTTTCTTTTTCTTGTTTCCTTTTGCTTTTTTGAAGAAAAGTTTGCGAGATGTTTCCAAGTCTCCATCACTATCATCCTCTTCTACCTCATCATCATCGTCGGATTCAGCCATTAGTTTCCTACCAATGGCACAAAAATAACTATAACATAACATTATCATCGAAATAATAACATACAATATTATTCGTTCAAACTATTTTTCCCTTTCTGAATGGCTTAGCCGGTGTTGACCATGATAAATGAAAGAATTATGTTAATCGTTCAATAAATCAATAGATTGTTGAACAGTATGATTAACCTGTGAGGGTGCTTAAGCTCAGGTGTTTTTGCAGAGCTTAAGAAAATGGTCAAAAGGGGGGATAGAATTGCACAGGTTATTTGAAGAGAAACAGCCGAATAAATGTCTAAAAAACATAGCAATAGCAGGGAACATACCACTCAAGAAGAATATCTGCTAGTTTAAACATCCATTTATATCTTGAATGAGGCAAATAGAGACAGACACTTCCATCAGTCGAGGAAAGCATACTTTTTACTTCAACTTATCTTTCAAGAATTCTTAGTTTGCAGCCATGTGAACTTAAGATAGAGACGTTTTCGGGGCGACGGCAACTTTAGCCGGACATGACGTCATGATTCGTGCGATATTGGGCATGCTCTTGTTTACCACCTTGCCGTCGTAGTCCTNTTTGTTTGTAAAAATAATTTTCTTTTTATATGAGTTGCTACTCACGATGATATCTATAAGATCATTAAGTGCCCGTGGACACCACTTGGCTTTCCCACCAGGTTTCTTTTTCTTGTTTCCTTTTGCTTTTTTGAAGAAAAGTTTGCGAGATGTTTCCAAGTCTCCATCACTATCATCCTCTTCTACCTCATCATCATCGTCGGATTCAGCCATTAGTTTCCTACCAATGGCACAAAAATAACTATAACATAACATTATCATCGAAATAATAACATACAATATTATTCGTTCAAACTATTTTTCCCTTTCTGAATGGCTTAGCCGGTGTTGACCATGATAAATGAAAGAATTATGTTAATCGTTCAATAAATCAATAGATTGTTGAACAGTATGATTAACCTGTGAGGGTGCTTAAGCTCAGGTGTTTTTGCAGAGCTTAAGAAAATGGTCAAAAGGGGGGATAGAATTGCACAGGTTATTTGAAGAGAAACAGCCGAATAAATGTCTAAAAAACATAGCAATAGCAGGGAACATACCACTCAAGAAGAATATCTGCTAGTTTAAACATCCATTTATATCTTGAATGAGGCAAATAGAGACAGACACTTCCATCAGTCGAGGAAAGCATACTTTTTACTTCAACTTATCTTTCAAGAATTCTTAGTTTGCAGCCATGTGAACTTAAGATAGAGACGTTTTCGGGGCGACGGCAACTTTAGCCGGACATGACGTCATGATTCGTGCGATATTGGGCATGCTCTTGTTTACCACCTTGCCGTCGTAGTCCTGTCGGCGACGTGAAACTAGTAGGTTTGGCGTTGTGGCGAAAACGTGAGTATCTAACTTTCATTTCACTCAGGTTTGTTGCGTTTAGCAACCAGAATTTTATAGTTTATCGTTCTTAAATTGCCCTTGTTTTCTTTGAGTCACATTTCAAGCTCGATTTCCAAGGTCTGTTATCTAAACTTACATCTTTTATAATGTTTCATGTCACAGGGTCAAAGAGAATCTATCCAACATGGCAAACAGCAAACCGTAAGTGAGCTTTACATGGACAAAATTGTCCTACGAGCCAAATAGTACCAGTCAAAAGAAATATGAAAACCGATATTTTTATTGCGTGTTCTTAGCCCTTTTTTTTGTTTTTGTATCGTATAAAATAATGAAACATTGAAAATTACGTAGACTGGAACACAAATGTGGACGTAAGCTTAATGCTAATGCTGGAATACTGAAATAGAGTTGTTATTGTTGCATGCAAGTATTTCCCCGGAATTATTTCAATACCAAACTTAGAATTTCTTTGTCAAAGAGGTAACAAAACGCATTTTAGTTCTTTAGCACTTGTTTCTGGTAGACTGGTAGAAAAGCTCCCAAACGAAATATCCTTGGAAACTGAATTAATTCCTAGTGTCTCGCCAAATTCTGTCTGGCCAAGTTTGCTCAGTAAAACCCTCTCATCACCAGCGGATACTCCGATTTCAATTTTTTTAAACCTTTTCCTTTTTTAACAGTGCTCCCTCTTTTACAGAATTTGAAAGAATTTGATTTAGTCTATCCTGTAAACCAAAACGTAACAGGGTCAATTTCTTTACACCCTGAGACTAGGAATTTAGCTTGCATGTTAATTTTTTTGGAACATTTTTTGGAACCTTTTGGACGCTTGTTTGCCAGAGTTTAATTTTTTCTGTAACTAGAAAGATAAGAATGAGGCAGGCAGATCTGTTCTCCACCGCTAACTTATTTGTCTTGTCTGTTACTCAATGTTTGTTGGCCTAGATTGATTATGGGGTGGACCCCACAACATGACAGAGCTCTTCTAGATGAGATGACTGTTAGTGAGGTGTTCCAGTATAAAAAGGGGACACCAGAAAGAGGTCAAGTTTGGGACTCCATCGCTGCAAACCTCAATGCTGTGGAATACCCAAAATTTAAGGTCCTCAAGAGGTCATGTAGAGACCGCAAAATGACAAACGAAATCAAAGCATCCGGCATTGATGTGGAGGTGAATGAAATTGACACCATAATTGAAGAGCTTATTGGGAAAGAAGATGCTGCTGTTAGCACTGGTGGCAAAGACAAGAAAAAGGTTGAAAAAGAGAAGAAGGCTGCAGAACAAATTCGAAAAAAGGCCATGGAACGTTTAGGAGAAAATAGAAGTGAAAATGAAAAAGAGAAAGAGTGGTAGCGAAGCTGTGGAGTTTCTCAGAGAAAAAGCAAAGTTAGACCATTCTCTCAGAGAGGAGAAACTTCAGCTTAGGGAAGACCAGCAAAGCCAGACACTGGTGCTGTTGCAGCAGCAACAACAAATGAATCAAGTTTTACTTTCTCTGATAGAAAAAATGGTGGAAAAGCAGAAAAATTAGAACAGTTCATATATCGGTTCACATCAGTTTGTTGTTTGTTGATTTCTGTTTTAAAAGGATGTAATACTGTATTCCTACTCAACTTCAAGAGAAGTTTGTTGATATTTAAGTGTTTGCATATGTCTTGTTTAATAGCTCTTGCTCCCATGGGGAAGGTTATATCACAGTTTGTAATATTAACACAGACTGTAAATAATCAACTATTAAGCCTCTCCTGGGGGGTCTTATTTTTTCCATTCACTTTTGAGGGGAGTGGGGAGGGCTAAGAAAAGAGGGTAGACTTTATAACTTTCTTTCCCTAAACACGAGGGGGCTTATTTTTGAGGCGGGACTTAATTGAGAGGGGAGATGTATAGGGGATTTATGACATCATTGTGTTTCACTGTTTAAGCTTTTTCATTGAAATTAACCCATTCGCCCCTGAACCGCCTGTAACCGCCCGTGCAGATCCACGTCCTTTCTACCCTTTGTGACGTCATCAGTTTTAACGGTCAAGGACAACTTTGTCTGCCAACTTGTGCAGAGTGAAGAGATCTTTCAAACCATACCAGAATGAGCACAATTCAGTCAAGGACACCAGAGAAAGAGGCAAAAAACCATGTGACATTGACCTGAAAATCTCCATGAAAATCTTGTTCCATTGCCCACCTACCTTTCCTTTCACCTAATCCTAAGATCCTAAAAGCTTTCCTAAAAACTATCCCCACCAAAATGAAGCCTACTAAATCCCAGCAAGAGAAAAAAAAATGAGGCAAGAAGAGCGAAAAAAGAGGGGAGGAGAGAAAGGGAAAAGTAAAAGTCAAGACTGGTGTGTCACTTTTAAACCCAAAAACTGTGTGGAAATTTTGCTTTCTGCGCATGCCCGAACTTCGCAAGCTGATATTTTGCATCTGGATCAGAAGGCCATGAAGTGTACAACCTGTAAACCGGTTTGTGGTAAGTTTTAGCCCTTTATAGCACGACAGTGACCAGAAAACCACCCGACTAGCTTTAAAACGCGTTTTTGGGCAAAATCTCCAGGAGCGAATGGGTTAATGTAAGTGATTACTGATCATTTGTAGGTGGTTTTTATTTTAATTTTTTCCAATTTTCAAAGAAATGTTACTTCTCATATGCTATGACAACTGAAGAGGGTCATAATAGAGCTTTTAGTACTCTTTTTAACAACATTTAAATTCCCCTTTCCATTCTTACTTATTCTTAATATGATTCCAAGGAAGCTACTTCTTTTCTTTGTTTCTAACATTAGTATTATAACTGGTCAAGGGTAATCACAGGAACAGTCAGGCAAATTTGAAACTGTCTTATAAAGGGCCCTATTTCTCTCTACCTCTAAGCAAAATATTCCTCAAGGGTGGGGGGTTCAAGCTCGAAAAATGACGAGGTCTTATTGCCATAGAGACAGGTGCGGGCATTGTGCAGTAGTGCACAGACAATATACATCTTGCCAATGCTGCTCATGCCAATTTTTAAATTCTTCTTAAAATCCAAAAACTTGACATAGTTTATAACATCTCCAAAGAGCCACTCCACTGAAATCCTTACAGAGCTCATGGAAGCATTGAATGCTTCCATTAAAGGAGTGAGATGAGGGTTTCGGAAAGAGTCTTGCAGGTGGACTCTAAGTGGATAGGCTGGATCTCCATATATGCACATTGATAAGCCTGCTGTTGAAAACGCGTAAGCCTCTAGATCCCGAAGAAGCCCAGAATCAGCCAACATGCCTGAATCGTGCCTCTTACCTTCTGAAAAACAAATGTCAAATAAATAATGTGTTACACGGGTAATCTTTTAGAGGACGAAAAAATGCTTTTCATAGGACAACCTTAGATGAAAAAAGCAATTTATCTTACAACAAAAGTCATATTTTTACACTAAAACTCACCCGACTTCATTTGCAAAATAGTCATGTCATTGCGCAACATGTTTTGAGTAGAAAAACGTTAAATTTACCCATTGATTTGTGAGTTCTTACTAGCACTTAGAAATAGTTTTTGTCTCTGTAACAAATGAATTCTGGAATAAAAGCTGTTCTTCTATTGAGTTACTGATGTAGTGCCGTTCATTTATTTTCCCTAGCTAGCAAAGTTTTCTTTAGTATGGTAGTCATAGTAGCAATTTGATCCTCCTTCTCCAATGCACAAGTAAACATTGCACTGGCTGCACTTGAAAGTTGTCTTGTGTCTTGGAGAGGGGTTGTCAGGAGTTGCTTTCTTTGAAGAGAAGTGCTTTCTTTCACAGACCACACAACCATAATTCTTGCCCTCCCCTTCGAAGGGAAAATGGATTCCAACATTACTGAGACGTTCAGGCACTGGTGTGTCCGCACTCCTCTTTCTGTTGTTAGAGGCAGTTGATTTGTGTTGCTGTGGGAAGTTGCCAACCAACTGCACACAAAGGTCTTCCTTGAAAGACAATAGATCCCTTTTCCTTCTTCCTCTTGGAGTTTGTGGGCGCTTGAACCCCTCGAGAATGTAAGCATTGAAAATGCTTAGAAGGACCATCTTCAGGACAATGCGAAGGTACCACCTCCTCTGTTTCCTTGACTTATTGGCTTCTGTCATTTGGTCATTTGGTCTTCATTGGATTGTGACAAATCACTTTTAAAATGGTAATTTATCTAGTTTTAACATGGCTCCTTCCCTTGAGTGTCAAAGGATGTTTACTTATTCCTCTATTGAAATGAAAAAAATTGTGGAATGTCTATCAAGTAACATGATTAGAGAAACTTTACTAAAAAGGAACCTTATCATGATGCTTGTCAACTTTTACTTGTGTGTTATTGTTATTTTGTAAATATCTAAAATGTCTTCTTTTCTAAATGTTCTTCAAATAAAATTTCTTTTTTGTTGTTTTTTCATGTAGACTTTCCCAGGGCCGAAATGCTTAAAAATCGGCTTAATAGCAAAATTATCTGTATGTTTATGATTTAGTTCCTTTTTCTAAGTGGTGGGTGCCAGAGCAAACTCGGGAGCATCATCTGGTGCTTCTCATTTTGATGCTGGTCCCACTGTGCATTCTATAACCATACTCACACTCCGTTGGCTTTGACTTCGAGTGACTTTGCGGTCCAACTGAGCCATTAACCCGTTCACCTCTGTGCTTCGCCAGAGAAGTGGTCTCACACAGAGTCTTCCTGTTTGGGAGGTCCTTATCTGAACCTGAGGAATTGCCGTCATGTCTTCCTGATTCAGGTTCAGACAAAGACTCCTCTTAGGACGTATACGGAATGGACATACATGCAAGGTACTTGTCCTTGTTTGACTGGCTGATGCTGGTGGACTCCCTCAGAGCTTGGGCCCTTTATTTTTGTTCTGAAAGAAAAATAAAGAACAAGACTTAGCCAGGAGCCAGCAAGTAACCCAAAGTTAATAAACATACATGCACTACTCATACCGAGCATAAACATGATTGAGTTGCAGAACATGATGTAATGCTAAAAGCATTCTTCCTGTATATTATTCCCACTAACTCTTCTATGAAGTATGTATAAAATAATCTATATATATTTTTTGCAACAGGTGTTGAAATAGAAAGCAGAAATGCCTCTCTCAGTCGATTCTGCATTTGTGAATGAAGCACACTATTCCCTTCTTGTTCCAATTTTTCCACAGGAGATTATAGAAAATAAAAAAAGTAATTTATTTGCCTTTTAAGAAAATGTACTTGCCATGTTTTTTCTGTTTCTCTTTCACTGTCCCTTCATGACATCCGCCTTCTGGTTGCTGTCTGCGATTTTTTGTTGGCGTTTGTGGTGTGAAAATAAACAGGCATTGCACTGGTGCCCTCATTAATTGATAAAATTATTAAATCAATAATTATCTAATAGAAGGATAACATTGCCTTTTAAAAAACAGAAAAAAAGGTTTGATAATATTATAATTCGATTTGGTGCATAAGTCTTTTACAGCAGTTCTTAAGTCCTGAAATATGAGACCCTTATCGGAAAATTAGACTCTCTCGATCTTGAATATTATCTGATGGGTGACTTGAATTGCAATATGGCCTCTGCCCATTTCGACTCTAGTACACGTTTACTTTGTGAAATTTCTGATATATATGGGCTACAGCAGCTTATAACAGAACCAACTCTTATTACTGAGTCATCATCGTCTTTAACTGATTTTGCACAAATCAACACCAGAGTTGATGAAGTCATTGACATTACCAGGTCCAAGTACAAATCTAAATTCTCTTTCATCTAAATCATTAAATGGGGGTATTCAAACATTTTAAGAAGCCATTATTAAATAACTACTAAGTTGTTTACAAGGAGGACTAACCAGATATGAAAGTTTCATTGTGATGTAGCAATGAAGTCTTCGAATTCTTCAAATGTTGTAAATGTCTGTGAGGTCTCATGTTTACGTAGATAGATCTTACCATTATTCATCCATAGGAATTCGTACTTGTTGTCTTTCTTGAATTTGTCTACCCTTCCAAAGAGTTCACTATGATACTGGCTTAAGGATTCATTAATGTACATAGCAGTCTTGGTGGATGCTTTTCCCCATCTCACAAGCCACAGATGGAAGCACGCTTGCTTTTTTCCCACCGAGGTGCTCGCGTGACTTGTAGAATTCGACTTGCTTTTCTCTACGGACGAATTTGACAATAAATCTGTCCGTCTTACCCTTAGTATATGGCAATTGGTGGGCGATCGAAATGTCTTGCTTGTGATTGTAACACCGATGAGCTGGTCCATTTCTTGTGTTAGATTTGCTTGAGAATCCAA